ATTGGCAACCTAATTTCAACGTTGTTTCAACGTCGAAACAGTAACGTCGATCCAATTTGCATAGTCAACCCTTTTTCAACGTCTATCCAACGTCTGGAAGGTCATTTCCAACGTTGATTCAACGTTGGATAAACGTCACTTTGCCTGTTGGGTAACTGATGTAAAGCGGCCTTGATAGTCGTCAAGATTTGGAAAAGTTCCCGCCTTTCTATATTTAACATTATCAACAAAACACATACACAATTATTTTTTAATTATCAAAAATTGACTGGTTTTGAAGATTGAAGGGAAGTTTTTAAAACGTTTAAAACACATTCGTTGAATACCTTGTTTAACATCACCCTTCCATATACCCCCTTCCCCCGTAATGTGACTCCTTCAACATAACATATATGTTAGGGAGTTTACGAATGTATAAGACGGCGACGTCAGGACGACGGCTAAACAAACTGTTTGAAATAAATGATTGTATGAAAATCTTGTCTTGTATTTACTTTTGTATGAATTTAAAATAGTTTCGAACGAGTAAAACAGAGCTTTAATCATCAGAGCAATGTTGATCAACTCTGCTAGAAAAACTACCTGTCACGGCGTGCAATGCTAGCGTACTATACAGGACGTGAAAATATGCATTTTGCCGCGGTCAACAGATCTTGGACGACGTCTAAAACCCCTGTTAGACTTTTAAATTTAATTATTCATTTCTTTTGTACTAAAGGATTATTAATGTCATTGTATTGATGCGCCGTCGTCCTGACGTCGCCGTCTCCCATTTGTAAACTCCTTAATAATAAACCCTTCAACATATTAAGGGACTGGTCATAAAGTAACTGCTATAGGGTGGGCTGGAGGTAAACACAAATTTTGCCAATAAGTTCGGTGACCCATCTTAGGATGTAGATAAAAATTTCAAATCCCATCTAAACTTACAAAAAAATTTTCATGACCCACCCAATCTAAATTGGGAAAATACACTTTTATAATAAAAAAAAACTTGCAGGTATGAGCATTGTAAATATACACCGGCACTGTATTGACATACGTAATTCCACCAAGCTTGACCAACATATTCACCACCAATTACGATACTGAGCTGTTCTCCAGTTGGATGTATTTGCTCTGATTCGACCACTTCTTGTTGCTGTATAAACAAAGTACTGGCTTCAATAGCATCATTTGCATTTGATAATTTGGATAGTTTTGTTTACTTTTATTATCAATATCTTTATTTTTTGAAGTAGACATGCATGGGTTTTTGTTTGGTGGCCCAACCGTAGACATACAAAAAATTTGGCGGCCCATCGAAACTGCCCAAAGATTTTCCATGGCCCATCCCAAATCACTCCAGCCCACCCTAGCAGTTACTTTATGACAGGTCCCTAACTCAGTAAGTATGTAATTAGGGTATAAAGCGCTGTTATACTTACCGTTTATACGTATCATTAAACGTCTAAAATGTTTGATACCAAAATTAATTTTAATAAGCAATCTTTTGCATGTTCTGACATCAATTAGTCTCCTCCGCAGGAATCTCGTGGTACTTCAGCTTTAGAAAGTCGATGCCTGCGGATACAAGAAATACTAAACAGCTGGATGTTCCGTTATACAGATCAACTGCAGGACAAAGAACATTCCATTACAGAACTGTCACTCTCTGGAACAACATTAACCCTGACTTAAAACTTTGCAAATCTATTCCAAGCTTTAAAATTAAACTGAAACGGGAACTGCTTCAGCAATTTCTAGATAGTTAGCTTAAGGGCATGTTTTTCTGTTGTCGTTGTCGTTGTTATTGTCGTTGATGTCGTTGATGTTGTTGTTTTTGCTGTCGTTGTTGATGATGTTGATGTATGTTGTATGCTGCTATTGTTAATCTTGTTGTCAAGAATTTGATGTCGTGTTTGTGTATAAAGTAATTGCGTGATCTTATTATATGAATTTAGGATCCGATGTACACTTTTTGTAATTAATGGATATGTATATATATTTTTATCACTGAAAAGCCCCTTTAGGAGAGTGTCAATAAAGTCAATCAATCAATAACTCTGTTCGATTTACCAGGCGGAAAACGCACCCTCAGTTATCCCGTGCAGTTATCCTCAGCATATAGAAAGCAAAGTTCTGCATGCGGAATAGATTATGAATATTGTCATCATGCACATTACATGAATTATCCAATTTAATTTTTCGTTCCGTTACAGCCGACGAACGTGTTCAACTGTTATTTACTAACAACTGGAAGTTACTATCTCAAGGTAAAGTGCTGCCTCGGGCAGATTACCGCTGAGTAGCACGAGTTGCTTTTGTTTAGGAGACTCAACCACTGAAACTATATATATATATACATGGAAAGATGATGAAAGATTATGCAATCAAACGATGTTTGTTGTTATTTGCGCGCTATGTATTCGTTTTGAATAAGGTCTTTTTCTACCGAGGACCTCGCCACGAGCACGAAAACTGCCCCCATGCATGTCGTCGTAGAAGACAGCCGTTGTGAGGCTAAGGCCTATAATATTTGAGTATAATGGTTTCAAACTTTCAAAATTTATGTGTATCGAAAGTTATATTAATTTGGCTGTCAATTTAGGTGCATTTTACGTGCTCCTAACTGTATGTAAACAATATAGCGTGTACTAAAATCAACGAATTTCACACTTTCAGACTTACTTGCACCTCTCGTCAAATTTGTGCATATCGGAGAAAAGGCCTCTACTTCAATATAAATCCCAGCGACTAAACGCTGAATAGATCAGCGTGTCGTTTCATCGTGGATAGTTGTGGTAAAGATATGTCAATTAATTCGCGAAAACGGATATGTTATTATGTTAAGAAACTCATAAGTCATAAAACGTCATAAAACTGAGCATCCTACATCGGTCGCTAAAATCGAGATTCTGTCGACTATATATATTTCGGAAAAGGAGACCGACGCGAGTTTCATAAATGTCAAGAATAGTGTGCTGCCTCGCTGCCGCAATTAATTAATAGGTTCACTAGTCTTCAATCTATAATGATCAAAATATAACCTATTTAGATTGACTAGGACCTACAATCTTGGACATATAACTGGTCGAGACTATTTTTCCCCCTATACAAAATTCGCCTATTTTTATGATAAATTTCATGTTGAATTGCACTAAATTTCTACTGGATATCGGCTTATCGCAAAATTCAATCGCGAATGTTTGTGAAGATATGTTACTTTTCGAAATTAAAGCGCCGGTCAAATAAAGGATGAGAGTCACGCATTGTTATGGGGCATTTCAGCCTCTAGATTAACAAAATAGTAAAAATGAGTGTTCCAACTACCTTACTACGTTTTAACGATATATGATAAAGCATTATACGTCGAGCAGCCAACCGAGGCCGCGTGACGCCATCTCTAGCTCATGCACTCTCATCCTCGTTTGATCAGGGCTTAGTGGGCTTAAATACGTATTCCCCCGATTTCTTCTGTGTTATTTGAATATTTATCACAGATCTATCTTCTAGGAGTTTAAACTCTGCTGGTACTGAATATCCGACCATTTGATTAAAATGTGTCGCCTTTGAATAACATGCCGTTTGGACATTTATGTAACATTCGACAGTTTCATCAGTAGACTCTGCTTGGACTGGATATGCGTCCTCTTCGTCACCGTCAACAACTTGGTCAATGTGATAAGATTTCGGTACGATTTTCTTATCAACAAAGACATTTGCTAGAAATTCTTGCCCTTGTTTGACCGGGCCAACGACTGCCATGTAGACGCTCGGTTTTATGGCCATAAATACGAATGAGTTAGGCACAATGTCCTTGTAGAAGACCACTTTACTGTCTTGTTTAAACAAAGCCATTTCTAGTGGCTGCGCATTACCGCTTAAGTTGATCACCTTGATTCGGTCTTTTGGGATATTTTTATTAAAATTGATCGTTACGGTTGGCGCATTCGCAGCAGTAGGTTGTGAAACTTTGACTTCGTCGCCGTAGTTGACTGAAAGAGGACCCGTCTGTCTTCCATCCTCTTCAATCACGCAGAACTCAAATGTCTCTGGCAATTCTAGACGAATATTTCCAGGATTTGGTGTTTCCTCAACCTTCCAAGCCGCAAAATAACTGCCGTATATGAATACATCTGGCATGGTTTGAAAAATCATCATATCAACTTTCGATCCGGTTCTATTCCATAGTGTTATATTCCAGGCTGCCATGCTTGATTCTTAAAACGAAAAAGGAAAGCTGATTCGAGAACTTTTATCTTATTTTTTTATGCGTATTCACGATTCATTTAGACTTAGAGGCTAGACACAAAACATGAATTAGTTATTTATATATTATAATGACTTATAATATATATGAATTAATTGTTTTTATCATTATTGTTGTAGTGCATGTACGTACTTGTCTTTGCAATACGTTTAAATATTGTAAATGATTGTATTTTCGATGTAGGATCCCATTGAAAAACACGTATGTGATATGGGTATTCTTGATATTACAGAACGCATTACACTTGATCGCATGCGTCGGGAGCGCTCTAATATGGGGAGAGTGTTTTATTTAAAGCGCTATACAGTAAGCAAGGTGGGAAGAAAATTAGGGAGGAGGGGGAGATTTGAGGGGGGGGGGAGTGCAGATAATTTTGATTTTGTTGTTGTCAAAGAGTTTGTTGACAGTCGTTTAAAATAAAATTTTATTTCCCAAGTTTCGCTGTTCCATTTTTTGTTTTAAATTTATTTTCCCATGTACATTACAATTATTAATACATTATTACAAATTAACTATTTGGGCTAGAGACCTACTAGAAACCTTTACAGGCTTTTGTTTCTAGGCCACTAGTCGTGTCCTATTTAGATTATTTTATTATTTACAGTAATTTTTAAGATAATATTAAATGCAGAAGAAACGTTTTACAAGGTATATATACAAGATATTTACAAATTTGAGGTATGAAGGGTAAATACTGTAGTGTTTACAATATTAAGTTATAGAGATATACTAGTTAGATTATTATATGGTATTTTTTTGCACAATGACAATGCATGGACAGACATTGCCTGCATAAAGAAAGTGTGATTTCTGAATCT